CTGTGTACACATATATTTCATTTAAAATATGATATAAAAATAAATAAAAGAATAAGATTTCATGATGTTTTGAAATGTCTATGTGTACATTATTTACACAAATTGTTTGTAACTACAAATGTAGACACAAATACGAATATCCATGTGGAGAATTTATTTCATGTACACATTTTGCATTGTCCACATAGATACTATAAACTATCTACTTTTTACTGGCCATTATCATGCACAATATGAACGTACTTTTCGATACCTTTGTTCTTGAGTGTACAAAAAGTATAACAATAAATTCATTGTGTACATGTTTCAGTAATTGTTTCCAAATAAGCTGGTAGAATGGATGCTAGGTTTGAGTTCACCAAATCTGAGAGAGCTGAATATACAAGTTCCCACTTCTCTCTTCTGAGTATAAGGCAATGAGAAGTGTGTTCTTTCGGGAGTATGGTGGTTTAAGCGGGTTTCAAGTGCAATTTATGTTTTAACCGTGGAGATTGTATTGTATTGTATTGTTTATCGTTGGAGACCAAAAAATTTCTCTTATTAGTATCCAATTTCATCAAAAGTGTGTTATAATTTCCTTTATTGCTTTCCATGTGGACACTGTTTTTACATTCTTTACGTGTACACATAAAAAGCTATGTACACATGTACACAAAATAGTCAAATGATCACTTAACCACCATAAATGGCCACCTAGAAATTTATAGAGCTCGGAAGTTCCAAATGAACACTTTACCACGATACATTGACCACCTAGACACTTACAAAACTAATATGCATATTTGCCTAATTCAGTTATGTGTATATGTGCACATTTTCACTTGTGTATATTGTATATCAATAAAGCAATGTACATGCTTATATGTGTATATGTGCATATTTTCACTTGTGTATATTGTATATCATTAAAGCAACACAAAATAAAATAAAATTGACATTATATAATTTCAGAAGCTGCACACGGCAAAAAAAATGAGATTAGCAAGCTTGATAATATATCTAACATATCAGATACTCAATTCACCAGCACCACCATCAACATCATTGCCATTCTCATTGTCATTTTCATCTTCACATTGTGTGTGTACGATAAGATATAATAGCATAAATGTGTAATAATGAGGTGTACATGTGTATGTTAAATATGATAGTGTACACATGAATTTTTTAATTTTTTATTTTATTAATAAAATTATGAAAATAACCTTGTATTTTTTGGTCACTGTCAATCAGAAAACCTAATTTCCACCTCTTTCACTTATTTTTCCTGATTCTTCACACTTTCACATATTTTTATGTACTTTGTACAGATCTACTAGATTTCAATCCTAATTCATAGTTTTATATTCAAAAATTTGAACAAAACTGTTTTTTTTTTGTTTCTGATTTGTTGAACATTTTGTTCCAAAACACCACGGCTGAGTACCACAGTTGAGTACACATTCTTGATGATGCTGTCTGACTCCTGCATATCACGTTGTCTAACGACGAGATCTCACGGCGAACGTTAAAATATAATTGAAAAACAAAGTTCACAATGAAGAAGATAAGAGAGAGGTGATAGTGGGTCCTATTACTTTGTCAATAGTTTTGTTTTAACTTGAAAAACTAAACGAAATATGATATAGTTAGGAAAAAATGTCTTGATAGCACAAACTTCTCTATTGTGTTATAAAAAACATAAAACTGCCTCTCAGTGTAATATTTCCAATTATCTATATGCCAAAATTCCATGACACATAGTTTCATGCAAAGAAATTATCCAACAACTTAGACCATACAAATAGTTTTGCTTCAATACCATTCAATCAGAGTCGTGCCTGAGTACAAGCCCATCAAGCATTTGCTTTGGGGCCGGCGTGGTTAAATACATTTTAGGGGCCAATTTTCTTAAAAATTATCTGGTTTAGTTGGTTGTGGGGCACTCATTTGGTCAGTCTTGTTGCGGGTTCGATTTACCACCATGTCAATTTTGGCCAAATATTATACTAAAGGGTAAATTTTTTTTTTTTTTTGCTTCTTGGCCCCCAAAAATCAGGCACGGCCCTGCATTCAATGTATACATCCTGCGTGAAGCGCGGACCGGCCCTAATAGTTTATAAATAAACTAATGTTTTCCCTGTGCTACACACACGAAATCTCTTTTCTTACAGTAAAATAATTTTTTTAGTTATATATACATGTTATGAGCAATTTCTTACTTGTGTGAAACTTGTTATGAGCAATTTATGTCTTTAGATTCTAACGTCCAATATTACGTTAGTAGTTAATTCAACATCTTCATCTGTAAACAATTTAACAAATCAATTATTTTTAAAATTTTTGCTTACAAATCCAGTTAACACACTAAAATAGTGAAAATCAGTATGTAACATATAATTAAATTACTTTACCTGTTTGTTTGAGAATATGTGATCTTTACTAAGTAAGTATGCTGCTATCTATATTATTGAATCAAAATCATTAGGTTGGACCTAACTTTTGTTTTTTAAGTTTTTAAATTAAATACATCTTTCTACTTTATAATTAAACCTATATTAAATTACTAATATTATTTTCCTTATACTACTATCCATGTTTCCAAAAAATATATTTATTTATTTATACTACTATCAATGTTTCCAAACAATATACTCATTTTTATACTACTATTCATGTTTTCAAACAACTATATAATTAATCTCATGTCAAAATTTAAAAAGAAAGATAAAAAGGATATAGAATATATGTGATAGCACGGATAATGATAATTTTAAGAGGAAACTAGATTTTGACCTGCGCAACCGCGCATGTGTTTGTTTCGTCTATAGTTAGTTATATAAATATTTTGTTTTTACTTGTAAATTGGTATATATTATAGTAATCACATATTTACGATATCTATAGTAAATTTTTTTACAGACATAATAATATTATATAATATGTGTTTTAATCAAATAGATTGTTTGAAATTTTCTATATTATACATGTTTTTCAAACATGTTTTTATTTCTTTTTGTATATTTTATTGATTGTTAGATTAGTATTTCATTTTTAGATAAAGTAATATAAATAGAGCTTGATTAAATATTAGTATACTTTAATTTGCAAAGATAATATAAACTTTGAAGAATTTTTTTTGCTAAAACTAACCTTATAGCTTCATAAATTAATATTATAAAGAATTTTATTAAAAAAGAATTTTTTAACCAATTTCTTTTTAAAACAATATAATTTTAAAAATTTACATCGAAATAAATTTACCTAGTATATATAGCGTGTAAATTTTGTTAGGGTATATAAATATTTCATATTACGAATCTGTGATTTTTGTTAATATATATTGGATGCATTTAACTATTATTGACATATTTCCTTATAAATAATAGGAGATTCCTAAACTTATATCTATTGACATATTTTGCGTGACTAAATTGGAAGGTGTGGGGTAATTTACCAAAACCAAATTGTTAAGCGTATCTTTGTTACTATAGATATGATTTTTCATAAGATATAATAATGATAAGATTATTAGAGAGTTAATAAAAAATGACTTTCTAGTAATAGTCCATTTTTAAAAAAATCACACATGAAGTCAAGTCATGACTTTTGTTTTAATATATAAGATTTAAAATTTAAAATAAATTTAAAATTTAAAATTTAAAATAAATTTAAAATTTAAAATCTCAATTCTTATTTTTGGAATAAAAGTAATTAAAATCTAATATAAATTCAATAAAATAATTCATTTATTTACTTGATAGTTCAACTGATAGCTGGGTCACACGGTTTAAGGGTTTGTAGTGGGGTTTATCGGGTTTATAATTAATGCATATTTTTTAAAACCCAAAACTAAGTACGTACCGGGTACTTATCGGGTTCGTAATTAATAATCTATTATTATTCTAATTTTACATTAATTAAAATTTATTATAAAAAATACTGTTATTTTATAAATTTTGTCATAGTCTTTAAATATTAAAATGGAGTTATTTTATAAATTAAATATGATTATATTTAATTGCTAAGTTAAAATACTATTTTTGAAGATACTTTCACTTAATTAAAGTATTAGCTACCATTAAAAAGGTAAATTTTGTTAACTATGTAATATTCTTAATACAAAAATAAATTTATCAACATATGATATATTTTTTATTTGACAACTATATAAAATAATATTTTAATTTGATTATTTCAGATTATAAATTATTGTGCCAAATTCGAAAACTTAATCAAAATTAATAAAAAAGTAAACTATATAAAATAAATCATTATATATTAACTGTAATAAAAAAAACTAAGTAGTAAATTAAGGAGTTACACAGTATATAACACTAAAATAAAAATATCATATCTAAATATTTATGATAAAATCAAAGATAACATTTCCAAAATGAAAAAGCTTCCCGCGCGAATGTGCGGATCATACTCTAGTGATTATGTTACATGAAACATCACCACCACCAAATAAAATATAATGAACTACTAATATGAATATTTGTTTCTCAACTTTTCATAATCAGATCGATCATCAAGTAGATATATGTGTAAATACACTTCTTCAGTGTTCCGTCATAAAAGAACTACACAATGTAAAACATCAACTCGACATAACAATTGTAAAACATGACACATATTTTTGGATTTTAATGTTAAATTTCATACCAATTTTCAGTTTTACATAGTGCTTTGACACTTATTATAAGAAAAAAGAAACATAAACACTAGAAAGCGAAAAGAAAAAATAAGAGATTGAAGAAGTGACAAAATTGTAGCTGAAATGGCAGTGGTGGATAGTAGACGATCTCTCATCATCAACCCCATCAACGGACGCAGCTTCAGCTTCGGAAGATGGTGACTCTTAAAGATGTGTGAGTTGTTCTTCCATCATATGACGTAAGTAATGAAATGAAGAAAAATTTTGAGTATAGTAGAACTGTAGAAAATCCAGTTGAAGAGACAAAATGAATTAACTCCAAAATAACAGAGCAAGAGAGTATAGATTCCAGCGGACTGATTCATAGAACAGCTCTGCAATCCCCTGCAAGAGCCATGTTACCAGAAGAAGAGCTGCTGTTACGGTCCTCTGCTAAAGCAAGATAGGCTTGGAGAAACACGTTCCTTAAAGAACTCTTGACTTCTTCTACATAGACACTGTTCACTTGAAATGTTTGGGGAAACTTATCTTCTTGAAAAAAGCTTAATAGCGTTTTTTCATTACATAAGCTGCTGCTTCTGGTCCTCCATGGCCATAAAAAACCTACATATACAAGATATGTAAATTGACTGATCTTATCAAAAGATGTTGCACTGGAGGAAAGAAGGCCAATACCGCATAGTAAGCACTGGGCTTTGGCAACTCATGAAGTGACCCAACACGAGAAGATAGATCTTCTATGCAAATGTGTTCATCTTCCATGGATCTCCTGGGTCCAATATCAGCATATCTCCCCGAGCGTATACCAGGAACAAAGAAGGAGACATTAGAACTGCACTCATCATCATCTGATTCAGAGCATGTTAAACCCTGCAGAGCAAAAATTCCATCTACTAGTCAATCGAGTATTCAACACTAAACACTTTAAAAGTTCATATCCTAGTCAATTGAGTAGTCAAATGAAATATTCCATCTACTAGTAAATTTTACAGTTTTGACAGAAAAACTTCTTTTTTGGTTCTTGTAGAAAAAATTGAGTTTTGCAATTTTGGCGAAAATTTCGATTGTGCAGTTTTGACGGAAAAACTTCATTTTTAGTTTTTTTTTGCTAGAAAACTTGATTTTGATAATTAACAAGTTGGAGGAAAGAATCATAATACATCTGAGTTTTTTTTAAAAAAAAATTCATGCCTAAAACTTGAAGACAAAAATAAAGAAGATAAATAAATTAATTATTTTCCATTTAAATCGGCTAAATCTGGGTTAAAATAGGGTTGAGATTATATTAAACAAAAGAGGGTTAGGCCCTGGCTCTGGTTTTAAAATCCCTAGATACTGATACACTAGCTCCACCTTTAAGAAAAGCTGATTGGTTTGGACTTGCATAAGAATGGAGGACTGATTTCAGTCGATTGTCGATGATCTTAGTGATGGTTTTGTATACAATGTTGTAGAAGCTAATGAGTCTATATTCCCCTATTTAACAAGCCTACGAAGTTTTAGGAATAAGAAAGATGGTTGTTGTGTCATGTCTTTTAACAAACAACCATTACGAAAAACCTTTGCTTTTTTTTCCTTCAGCAATTTTATAAATGGGACAAAGCCCAAAGGGATGAAAACCCTAACCAGTACAAAATACAAGAAGCCCAAACAGCAAACGGGCCCATCCGAAAACAACTTGAAAGCCCAAAAAACAACAAAGCCCAGTACAATTAAAACACTACACCCAAAGGCCCAATACACTGCAAACCCTAGCACACCTCTGCCGCTGCCGTTCTCTCACCAGGAACACACACCGGAGGAGAGCCGGGAAAAGAGCCGCTTCATCTCGGGCCACGCCTGAAGATCCTAAAGTCTTCCTTTCCATCACTCTTTTCTTATGAGAGCATCCATCGACCGTGGTCGAGATCTCATCTTAGATCCAAAGTCACCAAACACAAACTCACCTTAAGCTCGTCGGAGAGCGTCCATCGACAGAATCAAGATCTCATCCGACACATAAGACCACTAGTCACGGGTTTAAACTGGACACGACACCCACCCTCTACCAATCAGAGGCGGACCTAGTAAAGAAGAAGGGGTGTCAGCTGACACGGGTTAAATCTCAAATAAATTTGTTTTGTACATATGACAGTAAAGAATCAGTGGCATAAATGGTGTTTGTATTGGCTGTGACACCCCCAAACTCGAGTTCGAGTCCCCCATTTTACACTTTTTTGTAATTGTTTTTAAAATATATATCATGATGACACAGGTAAAAGTAAATGCTGGGTCTGCCACTGCAGTACCAATCCTAAAGAAACCTAGAAACTCCGGTTACACCAAAAGAAATACAAACCAGAAGAAAAAGCTAAAGCCGACCGTCTTCACTGCGAAGAAGATGACTGATGCCGGAGACCAAGCCAAGCGACCACCGAAAGAAAGATTCGACGCCGGAGACAGAGCCGAACGGCCACCAAAAGACAAGTGCGACGTCGGTGACTAAAGCAAACAGAATGATGGCAGATCTGGGAGAACTATCATCAGGAGACCAAGATCCGACCGACATCACGGCTAAAGGATCCCGTCGACGTCGGTCAGATGAAAAACATTTTACATGGCGAAGAGAGAAGGTAGAGCTTTCTCTCTCCAGAAATATATCCCTGACAGTGTCTATGAAAAACCTTTGCTACTTCTGCTATAACATCTTGTCCTGCTGTATCCTACAAAGATTTTATAAATTCCACAGAATATCCTTCTGGTCTCACGTTTTTATTTAAAGGCATGCAATAAATGTAACCTTAATTTTTGGTGTCTTTACTTCTCTTCACAAGTAAGCCATGTGTAAGTAAGAACACCTCACATCCATCAAACTAGTGATCTTATCTAACCACACCTGATGGATACGCCTCAAAATTTAATCAATGTATTTTCTAACACAGTTTAAAATTACATGAACTAATGGGGTTCGGCTAGTGTCACTTGAGGGATAACTCCAATACGGTAAACCCGCAGTTAGATTCCCATTGGCTACAAGGAGATGTATAAATGTCGGCATCACTGGGGCCACAGATTAGTCATTGATTTCGGTCGCCGCATACTGTGGTTAATTCAAAAAGAAAGCCACATGGGCTGAAAACTCGTGATTTTCACGTTATGAGATAACTATATTCCTCTACTTTCACTAAACTCGTTATATGTACAGATTTAAAGACCCATTTGAAAATGTTTCAAGGCTTCAAATAAAACTAGAATTTGATTCGCGCGGACGCGCGGATGTTTGTTTTGCATTATTAATATAAACACTCCAAATACACAATGGTATAGTGAACCTGTTCAGTCTGAACTTGGTGCAGTTTCGGTTCGGTATTTTCAGGCTTTTTGGTATTTCTATTTTTTTTTTTTTAAATTATCAACCATATTGGAACTATATCTAATTTGGCCAGTTTGGTTTATATACTATCGATTTTGGTTTAGTCAATGTAATACCAAAAATCCATAACTATATTTTGTTTTTAACAAATTTTCAATTATATGAATAGAAATGAAATTTGTTAAAACATAAATATATATATATATATTCCTTAGTCTAAATTTTAAAAATAATATTTTCTGTTTTATTTAAATATTAAAACAATAGTAAGAAAATAATAATATCATAATAGTATTATGTAATTATATTTTAGCATAAGGAGTTATCAATAAATAAAAATATGTTTGTTTTAATTGAATGAAAATGAGAAAACAAAATAACCATTTTAACTTAAAACTACATAAAATTATTAAAATCAATGTTTGATTATGAATATCATATCAATAAAATAAACTATGTATATATTATTAATAGTATTATTAAATTTACATATAAGTATACTAATATTTTTAATTAATTGATTTCTTTGGTTTGTTCGTTTTATATACTAAATCATATCCATATAATGTTGTTTCTAAAAAATAATATCCATTCGGTTTATTCTGTACTATTAAATCCAAACTTATCTCTCTATTTTGGTTTGGTTTTACCAGATTAAACATACTAAATTGCATTCGCACTATTTTATTTTATTGATGAGCCCATGAATCACATTACTGGAATTACTTGTAATTGGATGTGTCTCGGATCAGTTATGTAATTATTAAAAATATTTTATAAAATAAGTTAAATCTTGCGTTCAATTGAAAATAAGTTAAATTTTGTGACCAGCTTGCAAGTAAGTATTCTATGTGTTAACAAAAAAAAAGTATCAATCCAAAGGTTTAATATAAATAGCTGGACATTTAGTTCATGTGCTAAATTGTTAGTATAGAAATACATTCAGTTGTCGTGCATAGCAAATTGAGTTTTCATATAAATAAATGTAACTAATTTCACATGTATTAGCTTTTATCATTTTTTTCGTTTTTAACACATTTTCCAAAAAAATTAATAGACTTGGTCTAATATAAATGTATTACTAAGTTGACTTCTTCTAAGATATTTGAAAATCATAAACAAAAGTTTCCTTCTACTAAACGGTGATGATCGTAAATTATGGTAAGATACATTAGTATAGGGGAGAGGAAATATGGGTAACATATGTATTTTCGTTTACTGATAAGCTATTAATGAGTTATTATTGAATGAAAAATCCTTTATATACTAAAACACAAGTTATCTAATGAATCAAAATTTGATATGTGGAAAATACTTTAAAAAAAACAATTGATTATAAAAGGTTTCCATCAACTCCTAATTTCCAGCAACTCAATCCTAATTTTTTTCTAAACATCACGTACAAAGCAATTAGTCACGTTTTCAAACTGTCTTCTCAAGTTTTCTATATACTAAGAGCATCTCCAACCACACTCTTTATTTTAAAGGAGAGACCCACTAAAAATAAAAGGGATAGGTCTCCAACCATGACCTTTAAAAGTTTGTACAGGCATGTTACGGAAAATCAAACTGATTTTGAAGTAGAATAAAAGCTGATGAACGAATGTATTAGGAAGGTAAGATTGTAAAACGTTTGACTATTTTGAATTCTTGTGAAAATAAGTTATCTTCTTTATAGTCTTTACAAAAAAAAGCAGGTCCTTAAATCTTGAATGCTTTTAATTATTTTTGATCATTTAAGGTTGTAAAAGTGTTTTAGGCAAAATCCTGAGATAACTCAGTTTTTAAAAAAATATTCTGTATTTAATTTCGAAAAAATGAGTTTTTTACTGATCATTTTTAACAACTATCCAAAGCATTAAAAATATGTTTTGATAAAACCAATAATATTCTTGAAAAGCCTTATACAATAGTATTTAAGAAAACAGTTTTTTCTTTCAAAAATAAAAACTAACAAAATTTGTTGTTTTTGATGTTAAAAATTCAACAAATTATCAAAATAAGTAATGTTAGTTAATTTTATTTAAGTGTGTGCTTTTAAATAAAAAAATGTATGGTAATTTAACATGAAATCTCAGTAATATCATTATTTTAAACGGTATAAGATAATAAACTATTTAAATAGTACATTTATTACATGCAAAACATTTTAAGATTCACAGTATATGTTAAACTAAATATATGTATTATTAAATCAACGACAAATAGAGGTAATGGATCACATACCTTAGATTAAACTGAATTTTTTGGTTTGATATATATATATATATATATATATATATATATATATATAGATTATTTTGATGAATATTGCAAACGTATCCATTTAAAAAATAATTTTGTAGTTATTGTTTTACCCATTTCAACAGCTTTGTTTGAATACATGCATTTCTACTATTATGTGCCACTGCTCATAGAATATTTGATAACAAATAATAATAGTTTGATTGAAAAATTTTCCCTCCTGTTCAAAATAATGTATATTCTAAAAAATTTACATTTATTAAGAAAACATGTAAAACTTTGACATTAAATTCATTTTGGTTTTATTGAGAAAGCTTTTAAAACTCAGACCCATTGCTTACGAGCTTTTGCGGTTTGAGATTAATGATGGGAAAGCTGTCTTCTTTTGGTTTGATAACTGGCTCCAGATGGAAAAGCTATTGGACATTACCGGAGAGCTAGGCTGCAGTTACTTGGGAGTGAGTAGAACGGCTACGCTAGCAGAAGCGGCTAGCAG